AACTAAGTTGAAGACATTAATAATGTTGGTCATTATTCTAAATCTAGAAATGAAAGTTATCTATAAAGAACATGGTATTATATCCATATATTCATTGACAACAATAAGCCTTTGACTGTGTGGATAACAGAACAAACTGTGGAAAGTTCTTAAAGAGATGGGAATACCAGACCACCTTACTTGCCTCCTGAGAAACCTCTATGCAACAGTTAGGTCAGGAAGCAACAGTTAGAAGCAGACACAGAACAGTGAACTGGTTCCAAATCGGGAAAGGAGCACGTCAAGGCTGTATGTTGTCACCCTGCTCATTTAACTTCTATGCAGACTGCCTGGTGGCAGGATCGCCCTGGTGGCTCAGATGGCAAAAGCATTTGTCTACAAGGCCGGAGACCTGGGTTTGATCCCTGGGTCCAGACGATCCCCCTGGAGAAGATAACGGCAACCCACCCCAGTACTCTTGCCTGGAAAATCCCACGGATGGATGGAGGAGCCTGGTAGGCTACAGTCCATGGAGTCGCAAAGAGTCAGACACGACTGACTTCACTTTCACTTTTCACTTTTTATGCAGACTACATCATGTGAAATGCCAGGTTAGATGAAGTACAAGCTGGAATCAAGATTTCTCCTGGCTGGAATCAATGCCAGGAGAAATATCAGTAACCTCAGATATGCAGATGAGACCACCCTAATGGCAGAAAGCAAAGAGAAATTAAAGAGCTTCTTGATGAGGGTGAAACAGGAGAGTGAAAAAGCTGGTTTAGAACTCAATATTCAAAAAACGAAGATCATGGCATCTGGTCCCATCACTTCATGACAAATAGATAGGGAATAAATGAAAACACTGACAGATTTTATTTTCTTGGGGCCAAAATCACTGCAGACTGTGACTGCAGCTATGAAGCAAGCCATAACGCTTGCTCCTTGGAAGAAAAGCTATGACAAATCTCAACACCATATTAAAAAGCAGAGATGTCACTTTGCCCACAAAGGTCCGTATAGTCAAAGGTATGGTTTTTCCATTAGTCATGTCCTGATGTCAGAGTTGGACCATAAAGAAAGCTGAGTACTGAAGAACTGATGCTTTCGAATTATAGTGCTGGAGAAGACTCTTGAGAGTCTTATGACAGCAAGGAGATTGAACTGGCCCATTCTAAAGGAAATCAACCCTGAATATTCACTGAAATGACTAATGCTGAAGCTCCAATACTTTGGCAACCTGATGTGAAGAGCTGACTCATAGGAAAAGACCCTGATGCTGGGAAAGATTGAGGGCAGAAAAAGGGGGTGGGAGAGAATGAGATGGCTGGATAGCATCATCGATTCAATGGACACGAGGTCTATGCAAACTCCGAGAGATAGTGAAGGACAAGGAAGCCTGGCGTGCTACAGTTCATGGGATTGCAAAGAGTCAGACATTATTGAGTGGCTGAACAACATAAAATATATGGTAATTTAAAATATTTTTGTTATAATTACTGTTTATTTCCTGCAATAATGTTTTATTAGCCAAAATACCCAACTGTCTGAATGTTACAATTTACTTTATGTTTATTATAATATCAACTCTGTCCTGTGCCTATCCACTGATGGAATATGGATTTATTCGTGAGACCAGATGCTTTAGTCTGACTTCTGATGGATTAATTAGAGTCTCTGTCTTTTACCCAGACATATGAGTTCTTAATGGGTTGGCAATGATAATCAGGGTGTTTTATAGGGGGAATAAGTCCCTTACTGCCAAAATAAACTAAATCCTTCCTAATTAAGCTATGAGAAAGTAACATAATATTGCCACAAAATGAAATTTGGGTAAACTGTCCTGAAAATCTAACAGATCCCAGGAAAGAGGATTATTATTATCAAATAATTAACTTGTTGAATAAATAGGAAAGTTTTCTTGGACTTGAAAACATTTATATATGAATCTGATCACCTATAAAATGGATGGGTTTTATGTTCATTAGCTTCTTCATTGTGACAAAAATTTTATTCAACTTCAGATAGATTATTGAATGGAATATTTTGAAATTCACCTTAGAGGTCCTATTTTATAGATAGTATTCTGGGTGAAATTGTATCCCTCTCCAAAATACGTTGAACTCCTAACCCCTAGTCCTTAAAAATGAGGCTTTAGGAATGAGTTTCTGTAAATATGAGTAGTTAGTTTAAGATGAGCTCATATTGGAGTAGGGTAGGCCCCTAATCCAACAGAACTGATGTCTTTATAAGAAGGAAATTTGAACACAGACATGCAGAGAGGGACGATGGTAGGAAAACATGCAAGAAGACCGCCACGTGATGAAAACAGAGATGAGACAGGTGCAACGGCCCACCAAGGAGCATCCAGCACCGCTGACTGTCCCCAGAAGCCAGGAGAGAGGCTCCCTCAGTGCCCGAAGAAGGAACCAACCCTGCTATCCCGCTGATTTCAGAATTCTAGAACTCAAAGCTGGAAAAAAATTTTAATTGTTTTAAGCCATCCAGTTTATGGTAGTTTATTGTATCAAACCTAAGAATTCTCATAGATAGTTGAGAAGTGATTGATAAATAGATAGATAGATAGATAGATAGATAGATAGATAGATGTAGATAATCTTTCAAATCTCTTAAATTCAGGGCTGGTCATAAATGAGGACCCAAGGAATTATCCAGTGAACTAATATAGTAGCCCCAAAGTTGTCAGTTGAACCACATAACTGTCATTTTTACAGGTCAAGATGAAATTTTATGTGGCTCAATCTAATAAACAGATTTCATAAATGGTTCAAGTTTTCTGAACCCCCCTTTCCCCCTCAAGAGCAGATCACAAACTGAACTTGCTAGAATACGTCACTTCCCCTGCATTGCTTCCCCTCTATAAACAGATTCTTAGGCTTTGCTCATCTCTTTTGGGGAAGGAAGTTCTGTCTTCGTGACCGTATAGAATTAAACACTGGAGGAAACTGCTCTTTGGGGTTTTGCCTCCTATTCCTCTCGCTGACACATCTCTGGGCAAGGCTGATTCCGGGAGACAATGCTGGGAGCCCAGCTAGCTCATGTTCAAGGCGCAGACTTCTCCGGGGATTTCTATCACTCCATCCGGCACATCAATAACTGTCTGACAACCTCTGCCTCCCAGCGACGCTCTGCAGCGCCCTCTGACACTCGCTTCTCATCCATGTCTTCTTCCTGCCTGTCTTCTGAGGAAGATGCTTCCACGACAGAGGTGGAGAAGAGTAGACAGGCAGGGCAAATCTGAGCTTTACTTTCCCAGTGAATGAGAGTCATGAACCTACCAAATGTCTTCACTTATCACTTATTCCAATTCATCCAAAGATCTTTGACATAAGCAAATACTGTCTAAATCAACCCTCTGTCCTTGAAAATTCTGAGCATTCACAAGTCATTTCTGAATACTTATTTTCCTAGACGTTTATATAGCTAGTGCCTTTTAAAGTTTCCTAAACTATGAAAATAAAATAACCACACACACATTTTACTGACAATTTTTTAACCATTAAGAAAAGATACAACCAAGTCCGAAAACATCTCTTGTGTGACCACTGCTAAAGCATGCTGTATAATTTTCATAAAAGTAGATGTTTAACATGAGTTTGAGCAAGCTCCAGGAGTTGGTGATGAGCAGGGAGGCCTGACATGCTGCAGTCCACAGGGCCACAAACAGTCGGACACGACTGAGTGACAGAACTGAACTGAACTGAGATGTTTAATAGAAAATTCTCTTTCATAAAATTTTAATACTCCTAGTTCAAATACATTTTATGACTATAAGAAATTGATTTAAAAGAAAATTTCAAATCTTACTGAGGAAAAGATCCCTCTGCATTCTGGAATCATTGCCTACAGCAATGGGAAATTCAGAAGAAAGAGCTTATTAGGAGCAACTGCCATTTAAACTACTACCTTCCTCAGTTACACTGCTCTTGTTAGTTGAATGGCCTTAAATTCTAACAGATTGTTTCAAAATGTCATTCTGCTTCCATTTGACTGAATACCTTGTGCCATTATTATCTTACTCATTACATGAGAGTCTAAAATTTCCCTGTGCCAGACAATACATCAACAGCTGCTGATATTAAGTTGCCTTTATGAAAAAAAACCTTGGCCTCAAAGAGGTATTATTTGATTTCAAAAGTTATGATATGTCTCTTCTCAGCATATGTTACAGCTGGGTTTTCAGAAGTATAATATTTCACATATTTGCTCACATAAAGTTTGACAAAGGAAGGACTCACTATAAAAGAATGGACTGTCTTTTGCGGTTTTATAAGGGACTTTACCCAAGGACAGAAAGTATAAGTGGGCATTGCAATGACAAACCCTCCCTGAGGCACCAGGAGCAGAAACGCCAGCATCACAGACTGGTATTTGAATTTTGACCTCTCACCTTAGCATTTCCTACTTACTGGAGATGAACCTAAGTAACCTTTGCCCCCTCAGCTCTACAAGTAAGGGGAAAAAAACCAAAAACCAATACGATAACAAAATCCTTCCTTCTTATTCGAATATAAACTTTTTAGATGAGCAGATTAAGTCCCAGATACATTAGCATTTGTCTGATTGCAGTTTACTGAAGCAAAAGCACCATCTGAAAATCAAGTTAGAAGCTGATGACTTCTTTAACAAATGCTTCTGTTTAGGTGTTTTTAAATAGCAAGCTTTTCTAGTACATTAAGTGATACATTAAGTGATTGGAGATTAAATATATATCTCTGAAAACATGACAGGTATACAAAGCAAAGTTTACCTGGAAACTCTAAATCTTTTTCCATTTCCTACTTCTCTCCCCCACAGCCATATCTAACTTGGGATCCAGCTGCTTTCAAAGAATCATAGTTTCCATCAGAAAACAACTCATCTGGCTGTCCTTTCACAAACATGATCCAAGCGGGGGAGCTGCACACCTCAGTTCTCTGGCCCTTTGTCCTCTGGATCAGGGCTCCTGGCTTCTTAGGCCACGTATCCCTTAGAGACGCTATTATATAATGAAATAAACTTACTGTTTTCTTTAACACTTTGAGAGCATAAGGCTTCTGGGTCCCCTTCTGTTTGCATCTGTACACAATGGATGTAGCACCCCTTGAGGGGGAAAAAAAGACAAAAAGAAAATGTTATGCTCTCGGTAAGAAATCAAGGGGAAAGCTTGAAAGTAAGTATCTCTTGCAGTTACCCTCATAACTGACAAATGCTTTACATTCTACTACAGGACTCGACAAACTTGAGAGGACTTTTTCTGTATAATTAAGGATACTGTGCTCAATCTTCCTGTTTGCTTTTCTACGTCTAGTCCATCTCTGTACAAGTGATCTGCTGCACTTAGTCATGTCTGGAGCAAACCGGCTCCTCAGGTAGACACAGATTTTGCAGGATCTCTACCCAATCTCACAGCCGGTGACCCTTCCTGAAGGCAGGCACCTGGATGGAGTACAACGAGGTCAGGACTTCAGGGGGAGGCCTAAGCCCAGCACTAGGCCGTAAAGGTCAGGGAAGCCTCCACTACTTGGCAAGGGTGCTTGGGGACCTTTGAGAATTTAGACTACTTCACTGGTGTCAGGAAGCATTAAACGGGGAGGCTTCCTGTGTGCTTTGGATCTGTCAGGAGTCCTCTGGTCCTTGTTAATTCCTGAATATTCAGGAATTAAGAGGAGAGGCACGCTTTCCCCAGGGCTGAGGAATCCAGGCATGTCCTTCCTTAGTTTTTCTATATGGTGATAAGTACCCTCTTCCTTTTTATGAACCATGTGTTAAAAGTGATTGTTTACGACTCTCTCTCTTTGAAAAGGGTTAACTTATGTTTTGCAAGTCTGGAATTTTAATCTTTGTCTTTGCTGAGAATAACTACCTTGTAAGACAGTGTATATGCCCACACCATGTTGATTAAAACACCTTTGCTCCATCAGAGCTTGGATCCCCGTGTCTTTCTCTCTTTCTTTCTCTTCCTCTCTTTCTCTTTATCTCTCTATTTCTGGCTGATTCCCTGAAACGCGAAAGCCGGCTGTGTAACCCAGGGAATATTAGCCTCTTTCCTTCTTTCACTTTCTCATCGTCAACTCTGGACTTCCGATCCATTAAAGGACCAACAACTGGTGCCCTGCTATTCTCGCAAAACCAGTATTAGCCCTATAGAGATACTGGTTCCTTTGTTTTGGTGAATACTGTTACCACTTACACATGCACTAGCAAAATTGGTTATGTGAAATGTCCAGGAGAAAATACTATTGAAATGGTTAAGTATATACAGAGAAAAAGCAGATTAATCCCTCTGTAGAAAATTTGAAGACGTACAGAAAATTTTTACCTGTAAAGGAGAATGGTAAGAAGAGACTCAATAACTATCTTTATCTATGTGATACGCGTGCGAAGTCACTAAAAAAGGAACATTAAAAAGCAGGGCACTGTGGTCCTGCCGCACCCTGCCCAGTCACGAGAGCAGAACAAGACAGAGACAAAAGGACACCACACAGGTTCAAGGACAACCTTAGAGAGAGAACTTCAGCTAAATCTCAAAATAAGATCAGTTGAAGCAAACTCGTCAGACTTTGAAGATTAGGCCAAAGGACTAAGGAAGGTAGTCCTAAAGAATGTATCTTATGATACATTTACTCTAATGGTTCTGAAATTCTAAGAACAAAAGAAATTTACAAATCAAACATATTCCTAGCTACCTTTGCACATTAAATTTTTAACAGAGCCTCGAAGCGTCAGGAATTGGTGATGTAAATGTTAATTAGGTAAGAACAATTCCAACGCACTTAAAAACTTGGGGGGAAGACATAACACACACACAAAGAAATAGAGTTGCAATAGAATAAATGAAGGTAAATATAAAATTCTACTTTATTTTTAATTGCTCTAAATGATATCTATGTAAAGCAGAAACACTAACAACTCACTGTGTTTACAGTATATGTAGAAGAAAGAGGTATGACAACATAGCACAAAGAGTAGGGGAAGAACGTGAGAAAATACTGCTGAATCCTTATATACTACAAGTTAAGTAGTGTGCCTTTTCTTATAGTAGACTCTGATTAATTAAAGATGTATATTATACAACCCAGGGCAATGAATGAAATAAAAATTAAAATTTTTATAAAACAAAATAAAATTTTTAAAATTAAAAAGAAGTCAGTAAGGAAGCTAAAATGGAATCAGTAATGAAGTACTTGGGGGACAAAACAAAAGAAGAGATTAAAAACAAAACAACTTACAATATGGTATATTTTAGTCCAATCATATAAATATTACATCAAATGTGAACTTTATAAGCATATCAATTAAAAAACAAAGATCATCAGTCACATGCTAAAACAGACTGCACTTAATCTTCAGCCTCAATTTGTAGCCATGATCCGAACAGATAATTCCATATTGTTTTAGGGAAATTTTGTTTATGCTGAAAATCTACCTCTCTAGGGTACCTTCCACAATTTTGGACATGTATAAACTCCTTCAGTCAGTGATTTGCTTCTAATGAACAACTTATTACTTCAGGTTCAAAAAACAAGACCATCATATTACATGAAAAAACCAAGACCAAACTCTACATTGTTTATAATGAACCCATTTGAAATATAAAGTGTAAAAAGGTTAAAAGTAAAATGATAGAAAAGAGATACTATGCAAACACTAAACAAAGCAGGGGTAACTCCATTAATATCATGCCAACCAGACTTCAGAATAAAGACAGAGATGAACATGGCTTAATTATAATGTTAAGAGGGCAATTCCCCCAAAGGACATTACAAAGGTAAGAGCGTATGCACCTAACAACAGTACTTCAAAATACAGGGAGCAAAAACTGATAAAACTGAAAGGAGAAATAGACAACTCCCCAAATACAGTTGGAGACATCATTACACTGTCTCAGCAGTTAATAGGGAAAGCAGGAAAATCACCACCAAAGACATGGAGGATACGAACATTATCAACCAAACTAAGCCAAATGACTTTTAGAGAACACTATGCAAAACAACAGAATATACCTTCTTTCTGAAGTTAAAACAGTCACAGCCTCTATTTCCTGACTTAGTATAAAGAGAGTGGTATTGAAGGAAGAATAGACTTGTAGATAAGTGGAATGGAAAAAAGAATCCAGAAAGTTTTACATATACATGTCTAATTGGTTTCTGACAAAGGTAAACAGGCAATTTAGTGGAGAAAGGTAAAAAGGCAATTCAGTAGAGAAAGTTACAGTCCCTCCAACAATAAATAGTGCTGGAATAACTGGATACATATATGCAAAAAACAAAGGCAAAACAAAAAGCCTTTATCCAAGCACCACTCTACCAAAAAATTACTCAATGGATCATAAGTACAAGTGCAAAACCACTTGTACTTAATTGTACATAATTCTGAAAAAAAAAAAAAGAAGAAATATTTCTGACCTTTAGTTAGGAAATGATTTCTTACACACACAACCAAAAGTGTGTGCTAAGTCACTTCAGTTATGTCCGACTCTTTGCGACCTCATGGACTGTAGCCCAGCAGGCTCCTCAACTCATGGGATTCTCCAGGCAAGAATACTGGAGAGGGTTGCCATTCCCTTCTCAAGGAGATCTTCCCGACCCAGAGATTGAACCCAAGTCTCATGTCTCCTGCATAGGCAGGCAGGTTCTTTACCACTAGCACCACCTGGGAAACTCACAACCAAAAGCACAGTAATTGAAAGAACAAATAAACTGGACTTCATTTATCTTAAGAAAGCTTGCCTTTTGAAAGCCACTGACAGTGAGAAATTTTTTATAATCATATATCTGATAAAGGACTTGTCTCTAGAATTAGAAACTAAGTCCAATAATAAGAAAATAATGCATTTTTAAGATGGGCCAGAGACTGGAATATATACCTCACCAAAGAAAATATATGAATGGCAAAAAGCACAAAGAAAGATGCTCAACACCATTAGACATCAGGGAAATGTAAATTAAAACCACAAAGAGATACAACTACACTCTTCCTGGAACACCTAAGAAAAGAGAGAGTATCATGGCTGGCAAGGATGCAGAGCAACTGGACTCATACACTGCTGAAGAAATGAGAAATGATACAGCCACTTTGGAAAACAGCTTGGCAGTTTCTTATAAAATTAAGAATACCATACGACTGAAAGCTATGTTCGTTCACAAACTTGAACATGAATCTTTATAGCAGCTTATTATTAATCAGGAAACACTGCAAATAACTCCCATATCCCTCAGCTGAGAAATGAGTAGAATATTATCCATAAATAAAAAGAGAAGTGAGTAGAATATTATCCATAAATAAAAAGAAATGAACAAGAATCAGACAACAACATGGATGATTATCTAATATAGCATCCTAAGTGAAAGAAGCCAGGGTCAAAAGGATATAAACTGCATGACTCCACTTAACATAAAGGGAAGTGATTTGCAAACACTGAAGAAAATGAAAACCTAATTTTAATTTTATATAACTGCAAAATTAATATTCTCTTGAGAAACCTGTATGCAGGTCAGAAAAGTTAGAACTGGACATGGAAAAACAGACTGGTTCCAAATAGGAAAAGGAGTACATCAAGGCTATATTTTGTCACCCTGCTTATTTAACTTATATGCAGAGTACATCATGAGAAACGTTGGGCTAGATGAAGCACAAGCTGGAATCAAGATTTATGGGAGAAATAGCAGTAACCTCAGATATGCAGATGACAACATCCTTATAGAAGAAAGTGAAGAAGAATTAAAGAGCCTCTTGATGAAAATGAAAGAGGAGAGTGTTTTTAAAAACTTGGCTTAAAGCTCAACATTCAGAAAACTAGGATCATGGCATCCGGCCCCATCACTTCATGGGAAATAGATGGGGAAACAGTGGAAACAGTGTCAGACTTTGTTTTTTGGGCTCCAAAATCACTGCAGATGGTGATTGCAGCCATGAAACTAAAAGATGCTTACTCCTTGGAAGGAAAGTTATGACCAACCTAGACAGCATATTGAAAAGCAGAGACATTTCTTTGCCAACAAATGTCCATTTAGTCAAGGCTATGGTTTTTCCAGTAGTCATGTATGGATGTGAGAGTTGGGCTAGAAAGAAAGCTGAGCGCCAAAGAATTGATGCTTTTG